GTTCCCATTGACATTGCGCATGCCATGGTTGTGTGGAGAGAGAGACGGTTTGACCCTGAACTGGAGAAATGATTCAAGCTGCCACAGCTACTTTTCTTTTTTATGGGAAATTTTATTGCACCCATGGGTATGCAGCTTGTCATTTGGGAGCTGTGTGCTTTGTAACCTCAGTGAGAGACAAGAATTTATAAACTTGGCAAGAGCTTCCAGTATGTCTGCCAGCTCTCGTTTGTTATTCAGGGGGCAGGAGCTATTGCATTTTTCAGGAGGACTTGTAGAGTGATCTACTTGGGGCTCAATTAGTTGGTCTTAAATTCTTGTAGGCCTGCTCTAGTCCGTGATCATAATTCATTTCTTAATATGGTGTTTTGTTTCTATATTAGATTTTCATAAATTAGTGCTCATGTTGTAGTACTGATTTAGAAAATGCAGAAAAAGTGATCATGATTCTCTTGTATTCTGAATAAGCTTCTTTGGGGAAAATTTCAGTGGTAATTTATTGCTTTTCAACCATACGCATTTATCAGTAGACTGCTGTATGGAGTACAGGAATCCCACTGACCTGCAGGAAGTATAGGGCCGTATTTTTATCCAGCCCTCAGAGGAAGAAACACGTGTATAAACATTTTATTTTGGTGAAGTTGATACATAGTGAAACACAGGATTTCCTACCTGTCCCCAGGCTCACAAGCATTGGGTTATGCTGAGTACTTGCCTTTAATACATCCCACCCATGGAGATCTGAATCTGTGAACCAAAGCAGCTTTGCTGCATGACTTCTGCTGCTCATGGGATCGTCCATTTTCTCCACGATGGATAAAAATATGCTGTATTTAAAAAAAATAAATAAGCCATGTAGGAATGAACTACTAAAAGGGAGTTGATCTATGAATTATTGTGGTGAAGAACGGAAACTAGAAACTGGTTGCCTAAGCAAAAACCAAACAGGAAGGCTGTAATCCTGCTCTGCGTTCAGGTGATAGGATGTCTATGCACTATCCTCACTTACATTTGCATGGTGCAAATATATTTCCTAAATTCACTTCAGAAAGATTTCAAACTCTACCAAACTTGGGTCACATATTGTCGTGGGTCAGATTTCTTATGCTGTAGATAGTACTGCCACTTCTATCTGAAGTTAATATAAAATCTATTCTTGTCCTGAAAGTAAAAACAGATGTAATTTAAAGTATCTACAGATATGCTTATAATAACATAGATAAATTTTGAACACCTTTTTCTCTATCAAACTTCTTGCTCTGTGATGACATTCTCAGGTATCAGGTGTGAAACTAAGGTTGGACTCTTTCCCATCAAATGCATCTGGGCTCATTTGCCAGCTCTTCCTGCAGTTAATGCTGGCAGCTTGCATTTGCCTCCAGGTCATTAGTGTGGGTAGGTTGCTAATCAGTTTTCTGCGCTTCCACTATAGACATGACACTGGTTTTAACTTGTTTTGCACTCTGAAGAATTTTTTTTTAATTCCATGTATAACATCTTGCATAAATTGATTGGTGAGATTTCTTCATAGTTCTTGATTCTAAAAGCGCAGTTGCTCTTGTTTTGAGTTATATATTCACAATATTGAATATGTTTGGCATAATGTAAACCCTTTAAAGTACCCCAAGATCTATTGTGTTTTTCTTTGGAATTTGAGGGAATAGAGATCTTCATTTATAAGGGTACATTTTTATGTGCAAGTCACTCACTGTAGCAAGAACTAAAATTTAAGAGCTGTATACAAAAGTGTATTTAGCCTCTTTCTGCCTCTTTTTCCTTTCTTTCCCTCATGCTTTGGCTTACATTTGGATATTGTCAACAACTCCATTCTCTAGTTTAACAATTTGGAAAGTTTAATTTTAAACCTTCTATATTGAAACCGCTCTGTGTTACTCAGAGAGTGTTTCAAAGGGATGTTATAGAAGTGCTTAGTGTGTCAGAGCCTCAAAGGCCTTCCTTCTCACTTCCATGCATGTTTACTCTTTCCTCTACTTGCATAGTGGCTGCCTTTATAATTTGTCAAGAGGGATAAAAGCTGACTTCTTTGGTAGTGCTGCACAGGACAGTGCCTTCACTAAAAGTACTGATCAGATGTCTCCAGATTGCCCTAAGCTATTTTCTTCCCATGTCACATGACTTGACCTGAGAAAAAAGGTCTCCTCACACGTGTTTGAGAGCTGTGAGTGCACTGATTGTTGTGTAAAAGGAAGAAGTGGAAGTAAAAACTTTTTGGTGCGATATTAGCTGTGACCAAGAATTGTTTTCTGGATGACCATTGGGGACCTATAGCAGGAAATAAGTTGGTGGTGAAAAATATCACACATCTTGGATGTTGAGTATATCCACACAAAACTATGGACAACGACCTCATGTGTTGTTCTGCAGAGGCCAGAAGCTGCTTTGAATTGCACTGCACTTCCTGTCTCTGTTAAAACCTATTTATCACATTGAATGATTAAAGAAAAATCTAGGCAATTCTGTATGGAGAGTAATGAAGCTTTCACAAGAGAGCAATGAAACACTCCCAGTCGTGTTTTCTAACTGTATTTCCCTTTCAGCCAGATGGTGGCAGTTTTAAAATAGCTGAAAGTCAACTTTTAATTCTCTCTGTTGCTGTGATAGAAGTCTCAGATATCATTCATATTTATTCTAAGGATTTTTAAGTCCCAAAAATATTTGATTGTTATTAAATATTTTACTGATTTATCTAAATAATTCCTTTCTCCTCTGTAGGCTTACCGGCTAGCTAAATCCTCAATGCTTGCTTTGAATTTATATTGACAAATCATGTTCTTTTATTTAATGGATATTTGTGAAGCTGTTTTAGTTTTTGTGTTGTCCTGCCACTTGTCTTTTTGTTTGATCTCATTTTTAAGTCTGTATGTACTCAGAAGTCAAATTCTAGCAGAGACATAATGGTGTTCTGACACCTTGTGAGAGTTTTAGGATGTGGATGCCAACCAGCATCCCCTGTGGTTTGGGATAATGCTGTTCTGCCGATGGTGCTTTACTGTAACACGTTTTTATGGTCTGTGCACTTCTTGTAAGGGTTTAAAAATACCAATCAAATATTAATGACAAACTTCAGACTTTACTTTAAATAGATAAATCAATAAGAGTGATGTTACGGTGTTCTGGAAAGGCTCCTGTTCAGCTGAAGTGGGGCTTTCTGCAGGCAACTATGAGTGAGCAATGCCAGCACAAAGCCATGGGGAATATTTTTCGGGTGTGAGGCTTGATGGGCACTGCTGGCACTTTCAGCAGCTCTGTTCTGCCCCCGTTGTGGAACTGCTGCTGAGCCCCAGCCCATGGTATGCCTCTTATTTCCTTATCTCATCTTTGGCTTCTCTGTCATTACAATTTAAGGTCTGAGTTTGATGAAGGCTTTAAGTTGCCATCACTGTCCAAAGAGGCAGATGGGGCCACTGTCTCTGTTCTTTGAATGTGGAGGCCTGGGCTGCTGGGCTGAGCCATGTTTGCAGTAAGCTGGCATGAAAAGAAATTAGTGCTGTGTGATCTGAATCCTCACTGATGGATGAGTTCCTTGTTTGTCCAGGATTCCTGAATACCCATGAAAACTGACTTTGACAATAACTCAATAATTTCAAATTCAATTTTGAAATCCTTGTTTAAAGCTGCTACTCAGCAAGGCAAAGCAGATGAGCTTCATGTAAATATGCAGCATTGCTATTTCTCATCACATCTCTGTGTGTGAGATGTTTACTGCTGTGCTCATTCTAGTACATGAAATAAAACTTAAAGAAAAATAATTTCTCATTTTCAGAGGGGGGTGCTTTTTTAGTCTAGTTACAACAAGAATAATTATATTTTCCAAAGGCTATGCAGCTGGTTGTATGATAGTCTGTACCTTTCTCAGCAGAACATAAACTGGCAGAAGCTGTTCTGAGAGGTAATATTTCTTCTCAATACGCTTCCATAGTGCCATAGCTACAAGACACTTGCATTTATGGACATTCATGGAACTTGTGTATTTTCTGTGTATTCACACAACTAGAAATCAGGTAATATTCTCAAAAAGCAGGATCTGTAATCAATGCATTGGAAATGCTTATATTCTTTTCCTAGTTCTTTAGTTAGGATAGATGTATATATTTCTACACAGTTCATTAGGAGAGAGCATGGGAGTCACCTGAGTACCTGTGGAAAGGGGAAGTTTTCTTTAAAAGCAAAATAAGCTCTGATTGTAGTGCACTACTCGCGTAATGCTTAGTACCCAGTAGCTCAGGGAGGCATGACTGTACTGCAGAATAAAAGTGGAATGAGTGACTGGTAAGTAATAATGGAAGTCCTTTTTCTTGATCCCTATTTTCTCTTTATTTTCTCTTGTAAATCATGAATATTCACAAGTCTGCATGAACTACATGTTCAGCATTCCTGCTGTGCACTCCATTTTTAACACTTGTTTGCTTTTGTGGTTCTATTGATACTAAAAGCCCTTACTCAAATATATTCAAAGAGTGCATTTATTTTTTCTTTCATATGCTGTTCAGCTAACTTTATTTACATAATGCCCCAGTGACTGGTTCAGCTGTTCTAATTTCCATTGTGCTCCCATGACCACCTCTCAAGGTTAGCGTCAGTCTTTATCAATCATTAGTTGATGATTTGGAATTTTTTTAATGCTTCTGACAGTTTCCTGGATTATACTGTGCTAGATTCCACGGTTTAAGATATCCATTTCAGTTTAGATAGTCATTATGGTGATCTTATTATTAGCAAAATTACTTGTTTGCAATTTATGTTGCGAGGGATGGATACAGAATCTTGGGCAGGAAGGCAAGGAAGGGAGTTGTCCTGGATGTGAGAGAGCAGGTGGAGTGCATAGCATTCTGCCTGGGGAGCCAGCTAGCAGCTTTTGGGTCATGGGTAGAATGCAGACCAACGTGGGTAACACTGGTCAGTATCTGCTGTGCACCAATTATCAGGAAGAAATAGATTAAGCTTTCTTCAGTCAACTGGAAGAAATGTCCTGTTTGCAGGCTCTGGTACTCATGGTGTCTTTTACCACCTCAGTACCTTCTGGAATGCCACAAAGAAAGGCACCAGCAAACCAGGAGGTTTTTGGAGTGCATCGGTGATAACTTCGTAACACAAGTGGTTGAGGACCCAATGAAAGGAGACAGTGCAACTGGGCTGAAAGAAGAACTGGTTGGGGTTAGACTTGGCTGTAGCAACCATGAGTTAGTTCAGACCTGAATCTGGAGGGAGCAGACCAAGGCCAGTAACAGAACTGCAGCAGCAGACTTCAGGAGTGCACACTCTGCAACCTGCTTGGAAGAACCCCATTTAATGTGGGGAGGAAATGGAGTTCAGGACAGCTAATTGATTTTCAGGCATCTCTTATTCCAAGCTCAATGCTCCATCCAGCTGTTAAGCAAGAGCAGCAGGAGGCTGCATGGATGAACAAGTAGCTCATGAAAAAACAAATGAACAAACAAGAAAACAGACATGGAAACATATACTACAAGGCATTGAAGTGGAATCAGGTGACCTGCAAGGAACATAAAGACAGAGCTTAGCACATATGGATGTGAGGTTAGGAAAACCCTGTTTACCTCCTGCCTTGCTTGGTTTGCTTCCTCTGTACTGGACTGAGGCAGTGTTTGAGCTGAGATGCTGACGTAACCATAAACAACCTTTATCGTTTAGCACGGTTCAAAGTGTGGAATTATGAAACCATCTTAGATTTCAAGGAACTTGGTTTGATAGCTGGAACTGGATCCAGTAGACACCCTGTGGAGTGATAATAGTGATATTTGGCTGGAAGATGGAATAATTAGGCAAGTTTGTATATTCACTAGTTCTTCAGAGTCTTAGGGTGTAAACGACAAATCTTTTAGCATATTCAGAATTCACTTCAAGATGCTGACAGTGTGGATCTTACTTGGCTGCCTTTATAATGACTTTACTTTTCATTACTGGAATTATGAAAATGTTCTAGCACACCTATCTGTCCAGTTTTGAATTGTACTTAAAGCGAAAGGTGATAACTCTGGGCTCAGATAAAGCCCAAATCTTATTAGACTTGTCTAGGAGTAGCTTATCTGCTGTTCTTAACTACTAGCTGCAGACAAAGTAAAAATGATTGCACTGCTCTTGAAGGTGTCCATGATATAATTGCCTGTTGTAACTTATTAGGGATGCTGTATCTATATTAATCTGATATTGTATTTTGCAATGAATACTTTTTCATAAAGAAAAAGAAAGATCCATAAGATATCTGGCACATTTATCCTTAATGTCTATAATTTCTGTTCTAATTAAAGTGCAAGAAATCGTGGCAAATACTGGGGGGAAGAAAGCTACCTACACAGCCCTACTAGGTGATGAAAACTTGCTTCATATGGGAAATTGTGTTGGTTTTTATTAATCATTTAGAATTAAAAGGAGGTGCAAAAGAAATAGTGCTTAAACAAAAGGATGTGTTGTCCTGTTGTGCTCTTGTCCTTTTCACATAAAGTTGTTTGGATTCTTCTTAAGACTTGTGCCTCTGTGGTGATGTTATCCAGGTGCTGAAATGCTGTGTGCCACCTGCAAGATCTCGTTGTATTTGGCCTTGATTTAGATTTTTGATTTCTTTTCAAAAATAAGTCCTAATGCTCAACTTACTCATATATCATCCTGAAGCCATTTAAGCATGAGTTTTTTTGTTGACCTATCTGAAATGCGTATCTAATATGCGACATGCTGACCGTGACATGGAAAAATAGTAAGTGCTTTCTGGTCTTCTGTAATATTTATTTACACTTTATGTTAGAAAAATTGATCTTTGTCTTATTTTGTTTATCCTGAAGACTCACAGAGAGCCCTTCCTTCGTCTCTGTACTGGAATGTTTAATACTTTTACCTGCTTCATATTTGATCAGGTGTAATTAACACTTAGGAACATTTGCTGTCTATTGTCAGTATCTAACACTGTGAGGATACCACCCATGCTTCTGAAAATACTGTATGGTTTTCTCTGCTTTACAGCCTTGGTCTCGTTGTATGTGGAGTACTCCCTAGGATGTAGCACACATTAGCTTTCATTCTTTTATGTTTATGGTGTTTATAATAAGAGTAAAACAAGTGTAGGTTTAAATGTTGTTAGCATGCATGTGAGAAATTCCATGTTTCCTCTATGTGCTCACTGGGATTAATTACACACACCCTGAGGGTGTTTATGCCCATCAGCAGCATTATTCCTGAGAGTCATTTCAGTTTCTTCATTGATGCTAAACCATTCTAAGGTAATCATTAGGAAAAAAATGCTTGTTCTTGTATTCTTGGCGCAGAAGGGAATGTTTCCAGAGCTGTTAGAGCAAATGCAAAAGTTGTCTCCTGAAGCTGGAATTATCCAATCTCAACCTGGTAGTTTTCTCCCAGTGGATTAAAGTTTGAAACAATATAGGGTGCAGTAAGGACTGATGCTCTGCTTCATTCAGTTTTAGGTGGTATTTAGCTCCATAAAAATGAAGGAATTGGTCACACCCTGTTGTTTAACAGATAAGTGTCTTGAAAATCATTGCCATTCTACTTCCAGTGGCTTGGAGCATTGCAGCATTTTATTTATTTATTTATTACAGCATCTTTCCTGTTTTAGCAAATTGCAAACAACAGGTAATGCTAATGGTAGGGCTGAATTTTAATTACTTTCTTGGTCAGTGATGATTTGCTGGCCTTGCCAAATAGCCTCAGCGAGTTGTATTGCACAGCAGGGCTGTATATCACTGATGAAAATCTGAAGGATCACTTCAGATCATTTTGTCTCCTGCATTCTGGCTTGGAATTTTGCTGTCTCTTCTTATGAATGTGTTCAGCTAAGTTTGAAATCAGTCTTCTATTCAGGTCACATTCATCTTTCCTATTTGAAAAAATAAAAAAGGCCACTGGGATATGTTGAAAAATTTATACAGTTTAACTAGGATTAACCTGAATAAACCATTTTTTCTCATATTGATTTACCACTGAGATTTTGCCTGACTGTTTTATCATGTAAATTATGATGAATGCTCCTGTACAGCCTTGTGTTTAATTCATTAGCACGGTTTGACTGTAACTGCTGTCTAGAATACCTATCCAGCACTGAAGACTTGATGGATGTGATAGTCAGAAGTCTTGGCAAGTGCCTTGACAGAAAATGCAGAGCTTCAGTATCCTCCTTAGAAATAGAAATGATCTTTCTTTTGGCAACTGTATTGTGATTCGTTATCATTTATAGAAGCAAGCGGTAGGTTCCAGAAAGACATAGCTCATTTTGAACAGCAAACAAAATGACATTGAAAAGTCTGCTTCACACAAAGGACTGCCTTTGTCAGTAGAAGACGGCCCATTTCAAAGGTCTTTCTGTGCCGTGCCAGTTTTGATGTGATTTATTCCCAGGCAAACCCAAGTGAAACCTGGGGAGTAGGCTGAATTAAGTCTATCACTTCAGCTAAAAGATCTGCAAATTTTGATCTTTTTTTTTTTCCTCTTATCAATTTAGAGCAAATTAAAATAAAATCATGAAAAGTGTTCCTCAATATAACTGTCTTTGTCCAGTCATATCATCTATAACTTGTGTTGTAGAGCAGACGTGATTCAAGTTTTATGGTTTCTAAAACAAAGTATATTTGTAATTGATTTCATTGTCAGTTTAATAAAATGAAGCAAAATCTGAGCTTATGATGGTGTTGTAAGGTAAGCAGAGAGACCTATAGGCTTGTCCTTACAGTGATTGGGATTTGGTCTGTGAGCGCTAACAGAAGGAAAAAGATTTCAATGTGCACTTGCCAAACAACCTGGCTGTCATCAGGATATGAGAGACAGAACTTACCCCTCCTGTTTCTCAGTGGATCGGAGAGTAAGAGAGTGAGAGGCATTAAAGGCAGTGTGAAAACCTCTGATGTTTTTGTTTTGCCTCTGTTTGCCAGGTTGAGAGGCAAAGACTTCTCTATTGTGAATAAGGTCCCCGATGTGTATCAGAATGTGAAACTGGAATCAATGCCTAACTTTTATGCCTCGATCTGTGACACATACATTTTTTGTTTTTCAGACACTTAACATTTTACCACATTACTTACAACAGTCCCTGCAGTCATGCTGTCCATTTGAAAGTGTTTCCACAGTAACATACATATTTTTAAACTGAAGTACTAGATCAGAAGAAATTGCAGCTTTAAACAGCAAAATAAAAAATTTGGTGGTGAAAGAAATATGGCATTTTGAAAATGTGAAAGTAAACATCCTACAGACTCTGGATGTGGAGTTGTCAAGAGCAGTTTGTGAAAGCAGCTTTGTCACTGAAGAAATAAAGCCTAATAATTTTTTAATAGGCCTACAAATCTCTCTTATGATATGCAGCTACTGTAAACGCTTCTTCCATATTTTTCCAAGTATTTATGCAGTGTTGTTAAGTGTTGTTAGAGAGACATGATTGCCACAGCTCTTTCCCTCTGAAGGAACTGCCAGCTTTCTGGAGAGTGGCTCAGAGGGAGCAGAAAGTGGACGTGACAGGGGAAGAGGAGTAAACTTCCAAAGGGAAGTAGTCACTGAACATTTTTATGAAACATATAAGCAGTTACACCAATCAGTGGCTCCACATTAAGAGCTAGGAAAGCTGAGGGCAGAAGGGATGGATGTCCCACCGAATTTGTCTGTTCTCCAGAATGGTTCTGAAGCCAGTGACTCAGAGACCTCCTACCTTCCAAAGGGTTTGATAAAGCCAAGTAATGAACAAGGGCTAAGCATGGATGACCAAGTCTTTTCTGATTCACTCACCTGTCAGGTGGACCCATGAGTAGAAAGTGAAAGTCTTTGGAAAAAAATGTTACTGTGCTAGCACTGCTGCAAAGGTATGCAAAAGTGCTGAGGGTAGATGGCTATGCCGAGCCCTGGAAAAGCGATAGCCTCCTTCCAGTGGATGGATTTTCCATCCTGGGAAAATTGGCCCATGCTTATAATATGGTTTGAGATGGGCTTTGAAAGTATATCAATAAGTAGTGATAGATGCTAAGAGTTGCATACTGAGGTGCATACTTGGAAAACACAGTTGATGTAAGTAGAGGGGTTTGGCCACATTTTGTATGTAAGAATCTCTAAAGGCATCCTTAACATTGGGTTGAGTTGAATTTCACTCTTATGGCTGAGGCTTAACAGCGCCAGGGTCTGTCTGCAGAAAAGAGAACTGCCCTTATTTCAATGCTCGTTTGAAAAAAGTTGAACTGAAGACTAAGAGCATGTATCATTTTCTGAGTATCTGCAAACATTCTCATGACTTACATTCAGATAAAGTTGTGGAGTAGCACTGCGTTATGCTGTGCATGTTGCTTTCTGGTGGAGTGGTTTCCAACCCAATTAATCAAATCTAGTGGATGAGACCCAGCTGTGAAAGGTGAAGATCTGCTCTATTTTTTTCTAAACACGCTTCAAGCTCTCCTTACCAGACAAGTTTTTGAGAGAGAGCCGTGAATTGATGATGATGGTGAGTGTGAACTATGCAGGCCCACTCTGGAGAAAGATGACATCACCTGTATAAAAGCCATCCTGTATGCTTTCCAAGCAACATATAGTGCTGGCAGTCTTGGAATGAAGCACAAGTAATGCAAGCCAGATCCCAGACATCTGAAGTGTTAATGGATTGTTTTTTGGACAATAAGTGACATAAGGGAAAGCTGTAGTAAGGGTATAGTAATAATAATAAATTGTTTAAAACAGGATGAAGTTTTTTTCTGGTTGAAAAATGCAGTGAGATTCAACTTTTTTTTATACTTGTATTTATGGAAAAATCAGTCTGCTTTAATACTCTTTGCTTTCTGATGTTATAATAATCTGAAACAAGACCTTTAAATTTTTTGATTTCCGTATGCAAAAAGGAAGTTCTGACCCTATCCTAAGGCAGTCATACTTTTTTTCCCAGGAGAGCTTTGCATTTCCCAAAGGCTGCATTGCTGACAACTTGGAATTAAATGCTGTGACTTGAACTGCTGTTTTTGAGAACTTATCCTATGTGGGCTTTAAAATTCATAACCAGAATTTGAAAAGCTGCATAATTGCATACTGCTTAGCAAAGGTAACAAGATTATAGATGTGAAAACAAACCTTCATTTATCCATAAAAGGGATGTACACTTCCACGTTCTTGTTAGTCACTCAGCTCCACATAGGCTGCTGCCGGGATTGTTTCTCTCCTGTTTAATGTTTGAATTTTGTATTGTAGTCATTTGTTCTGTGTTGTAGATTTGGTTGCCCTTAGGGATACAGTAAAATACATTGTATGCATTTGCTGAAAAGATGGTTGCATCTGCATTCCATCTGACAACACTTATGTCTTCTTTAATTGAATAACAGTTTTCTGGTGCAGAGGGAAAGTAATCTCAACTCAGACATACAAGGAAAATCCGAATCAAGTAGGAAACAATTCTCTTTTTTTTTTAGTTTGGTTTTTACACAAAGCAATTTTCTGGTTTCCTCTAGCTAAACAAGCACTACTGCACACTTGCAAATGCAGGCAGGGGGAGCTTAAGGATCACAGTCCAGTTCTGCTTGTTGCACCACTTCATTTCTCCTGAGTCTTTCATTAAATGGAGTCTGAGACTGCTGCTGCTATCAGCAAGCCATGCAAGTCGTTAGGTACAACCTGTAAGCCAGTTCTTTCTAGTTTTGTTGCTTATAATTCCCTAAATTCCCTTGAAAGGACCCCAATGCTTCCAGCACACTGCAGTGAGCAAGGTTGCTGACACTGCGATGTGGCTGTCCTGGTGTATCACAGGCAGGGAGCAGGCAGTGTTCTAG